TGTTTGGTGTGGGTGTGTCGGTTTTTTTTTTTTTGCTCAACAAATTTTTAGCCCTTGTGTTTGGTAGTTTTTGGGACACCATCTGGCAACCCTAGTGGGCGGGGTGCAGGGGGGCGGAATACCTTGCAGGAGTGGGAAGGAAGAGAATCACCCCAGCCCCTTCCCTGCATGGGGTGTATTTAGGGCGGAAGGGGTGACCACATCTGGGCAAGCCCCAGAACTCCTCTGCAATAGGCTGGCTGCAGCAAGGAGCAGTGTCTTGTAGCCCTAGCTAGCCCTACACTGGCTGCAATGCCTCCTTAGCTGTTAAGGAGGTATATACCTTGCAGGAGTGGGAAGGAAGAGAATCACCCCAGCCCCTTCCCTGCATGGGGTGTATTTAGGGCGGAAGGGGTGACCACATCTGGGCAAGCCCCAGAACTCCTCTGCAATAGGCTGGCTGCAGCAAGGAGCAGTGTCTTGTAGCCCTAGCTAGCCCTACACTGGCTGCAATGCCTCCTTAGCTGTTAAGGAGGTATGTGGGACCTGAGGGAAAGGCTGGGAGGGGAGGGGGAAGAAATCCCTTGCAAAGAGGGGGAGGAAAGGGAAGCCCTGCCCCCCTCCTTCCCTGCATGTGGTTAGGGTTGCCAGGTGTGCGGTTTTCACCTGAACAGTCCAGAAATTACATAATCTGTTTGGTTAAAAAAAACACACCAGAAAATACAGGTTTTTCTCCCCAGCGGGGACATTTTTCCCCTGCTGTGTTTCACGGGTCCTTTTTTTTTTTTTTTTTGCTCAACTAATTTTTGCCATGTTCGGTATTTTTTGTGAAACTGGAGTCTTCTGAAGGTTACACATGAGACTTCCACAAGTCCCCAGAGAATTAGGCACCTACTCCCTGATTGAGAGTTAGGCCCATCTACACTGATAATCTGACAGCAGACCAGCTGTTCGAATGCATCTGTGCCACTGTAAGATCACTTGTGTAGCTGCTCTGTGTGGATGGGAAAGAACTCTCCTGTCAACATATGAAAACCACCTCTATGAGTAATAGTTGCTAGGTCAGCAGGAGAAGCTCTCCTGCCAACATAGTGCTGTCCACACTGGTGTTCTGTCACTGTAACTTATGTGGTCAGGGGTGTGTTTTTTTGCACCCCTAAGGGACATAAGTTATACCGATAACAGTGTAGACATGGCCTGAGGTATTTAACTCTCAAGGTATGTCTACACTCCCCAGGCTGCACTAGTATCAAAATCTAGATCCACACAGAGAGCCTCAACCTTGCTTCCCACTTTTAAAAATTTTGGCTCTCTTTGACATTTACAAATAAAGAAAGCATTATTTATTATTATTAATAATTAATTATTTGTATTCTCATAGCACTTAGGAGCCCCACTCATGGACCAGCACCCCTCTGTGGCACTAGACAAAACAAAGACAGTCCCTGCTCCAATGGTAACTGTTCCCTTAAAATGGCCAGGGAATATACAACTGGGATTAAATGTAGAAGCTATTAGATGTCACTGTTCCCTTGAAATGTAACTGCAAGTAGACTTCTCTGGCAGCAAGCAAGATGACTTCTCAACTGTGAAGCTCGTTTCTGGTGTTCAGCACCTAATGTATTAACAGGAGACTTTAAATTACATACTCAGTAGAGCAGTAATCATTAGAATAGACTTAAGATGCACGACAAAGATTTAATTCCACTGGAACTGTTCCTAATGAAATTGCATGTGGTGCTGAGTATTTAAATTACATTTTCAGGTGGGGGGGGGGGGGGGGGAATGAAATTCTATTAAAGTACAAAAGAAGGAATTAATGTCATCCAAAAAACTATCCAGTTAGACCCCCTTCAAAAATTGAAATCAGGTTTGATACTGTGGGTTGAGGGTTTTTTAAACAATATAATTTATTTAACCTTTATATTCTTTCATGTATTTGATTTTCTCCCATCTGTATATAATGAAATGTCTTTTTCTTCCAAGCTTCAAACACTGCTGCATAATACCCTCGGGACATCTTCAAGGTTATTAAATCCATTGCTCTGTCACAAGTTACTAGAGGCTATGTGAGTTCTCTCCCATTTGGAAAGCTGTGTGATTAGTGCCTAAGGGGATACAAACATAAACATTAATAAGGTCCATTTTCCAATATTTCAGAGGGCAAGTTTATTCCCCAAACAAAAAAGTTGGGTGCTCTTGAACACTATCTAATGACATTAACCTCACATCTCTTGATATAATTGCCCTGTTAAGCAATTTATTGCATTACTTATGGGATAATAGGATGATTTCAGTGTGCATTCATTGCATTATCTTATAAACAATGTAGCACATCATTAACCAGGATGATAGAAATCAACTTATTTTATAAGAAACAATTATGAAGGCTCATGTAAAACTGCTAATGTGAACAAAAGAAAGCCCTTACTATGGTTAGAAAAAAAAATTGTTGTAGGCGTTCACAAAGATTTAACACCCCCCTCCCCCCATAAAACGATGTCAAATTGTAATTACCAGAGTTATATCAGAAGCTCAATTCTTTTACAAATAAGTAGTTTCAGTCTGGTCTGATATGCTGCTTTTAAATCTGCATCACGTGATACACTCAACTCCTCAACTCACTTGGTTTAGAGAAGATAATTCCAAGCAGGCATCTCAGCTGTTTTGCTCTTGCTGTCTTTTGACCAGGCATCAGACTGCATCCTAAGCATGCGATTTACAAAACATCACAATGCATTGTGATTCCTGTGTGTGACACGACTGCCACAGGAAATATGGATTAGAATCTGTGGGGCAAGCCAGATGCCACTTTCTCTGGAAGCAGTGACGGCCTGTCAATACAGGCAAACTAGGCGGTCACCTAGGGCACTAAGATAAACGGCCGTTGAGGACTTTGGAGGCAGGGGTGCCGATCGCGTGCCAATCGCGTGTTTCGCCTAGGGCGCCAGTTGCCGGCAGCTTGTCTAGGGCTCCTCCTGTGTGGAAGGAGTGGTCACATGTTCAGAGGAATGTATATGGAGTCTGATTAATTGATTGCAAACTCCTGTCTTCCTTCCCTCCAGAAACCAGAACAGGCCCAATTGCAGCAAAGCTGCAATAGACAAGATCTGAAGTCAGTGAGAGTCTGTGGAAGAACTGTGAAGTTGAACCAAGAACATGGCTAAAATGTCTGGAAGTTCTGAGGATGCCAAGGTCTACAATCCTGTTCAGGTGGGAAAGCAAGGCCTCTGGCCCAATGACTCCATGTAAAGTTGACCCATGGCCTGCCTCATGCTCTCACCATTCACTAAAAGCAGCGAGGGACCAGGAACAGGGAAATGAAACTGGCTCTGTATTCTCAGTTCAGTCCAGGTGCTCCCTGTTTGGGCCAATTCAGAGAGAGAGAGCAGCACTAGGGGGTTATGAGAGGCCTAGTTAAACCAAGGACTGGAGAGTCAGAATACATGGGCTCAGTCAGGAAGTGCAGGAGATGAGAGCTGCTTGTGGGAGGCAATTCCTGGGAAAGGGCTGAAGGTGGGGTAGCGGCAACATAGGTTTGCTGGCTGGCTGATTTTACCAGACTAGAGAGACAGGGCTGAGGGAAGTG